TTAGGACATGGTTTAGTAGGCATGGTGGTGTTGGGTGGATGGTTGGACTTGATGATCTTAGAGGTCTTTTCCAACCTGTGATTCTATGATTCTATGAAAGCCTGTTCTTAGTCACTACATAAGCAATTTAAATTATCTTTCGAAATTCAGTAGATTTTCAAGGTGGATTCATCTCATCCAGCTGTAGCTGCCTAAAAGGCCTGTGTTTGGTTTGAACTAGTTATGCTGGTTTAACACTTGTCTGCAGCTGGGAGGGAGAGAATTTTGTATGTGTGATTCATGCCATAGATGTAGCTGTCCAGAAGAGGAGGTGAATCACTCTCTAGATGCACTTGTTGACCCTCACTATTGACTCAAGGGGAAACCTTGACAACTATGTTGACCATACAATGCTCTCTTGACTTGAACCTAAATCTTTGTTGAACTTGCAAATACGCTCCATTTAAGATGCAAAATTAATGTGCCATATGTCAGGTCTGTCTCAATTTTTACGGGAAATAAAAAGTAGTTAAAACCAGTTTGGCCACAGTAAATAATGAGGTTGGGTGAAAAATTTCTGATGAAAATTTTAGCACTTGGTATAACCAGGGCTTCCCCATACCTTTGCTTTGCAGCAGAGCTGGATGCAGCTGTGAAGGATGGGAAGGGCACTTGTGCATGGTATCTTTAATTACTTTTCTTGAAAATACTAAGCATGATCCTTTAAGTAATCTGTAAAGAAAGGCAGGAGTGGCCTATTTAAGTGTAAAACCTAGCTATCTGAGCTTCAGCTGTTCAGTACAGCGTAGCATTGTATCCCATGCATAAGGTGAAACTCCAAATACGTTTCCTCCCAAGCAAAAACATAAATAATGCGAGTTAACAACCATCGTTACCATAATTTCAAGGGCATGTAAGCAATACACTGATTAACAGTGTTTAGTTAGCTATTAGAACCATCTCCTACTTCCACAGGCAAGGTCCATGTGAAGTGGTGTTCCCAGGAATAGAAGGTTCATGTAAGAGTGATTCACAACAGAAAAGCTGAATTAAAGAAAGTGAAGACAAAACTTGCTTATTTTAGCGAGTCATGTGGTTATTTACCACTGCTTTGAACTGGACAGTGTTGCAATAAGATCATTGTGTTGCCCTTTCTTTAATTTGGCTTGGTTTTGCCTGCAATGTAATTGGATTTATAAAACAAGAAATACCCAACTGAAAATTTAATACTGCTTTGCTTTATTTGAGACGGTAATGTAAAGGGGCCAAGTCTCCCAGGTCTCGGGAGGTCTTGATACAGGCATGTATGAATTTTTCTTTTCTCTTCGGCTTCTGAGGAGGCTGGAAAGTTGGGCAGAGAGGAACCTGATGAAGTTCAACAAGGGCAAGTGCAGGGTCCTGCACCTGGGGAGGAACAACCCCATGCACCAGTACAGGCTTGGGGTGGACATGCTGGAGAGCAGCTCTGTGGAGAGGGACCTGGGTGTCCTGGTGGACAACAGGTTTACCATGAGCCAGCAGTGTGCCCTGGCTGCCAAGAAGGCCAATGGGATCCTGGGGTGCATCAAGAAGAGTGTGGCCAGTAGGTCGAGGGAGGTTCTCCTTCCCCTCTACTCTGCCCTAGTGAGGCCCCATCTGGAGTACTGTGTCCAGTTCTAGGCTCCCCACTTCAAGAA